ACTTTTCGTAGATTTTTTGAAGGTCTTTGTATCCGGTGGTTATTAATAAATTAATCTTTGTTTACAAAGAAACATTCAGCGTAATCAGTGAACGAATCAACATGTTTTTCTGAACAAATCTCTCGAATTTCTTTTTTTTAATGTGTAAATATCCAGATATATTTATTTGAAATTACGGACAATACGCTTGAAATAACGAAAATTGGTAACATCAAGCCCCCATCCCAAGTCAATGTATTGTACAATATTACCATAGTAAGTTTACATCAAAATAGGTTATCATACTTGTCTTTGAGTCTTCCATATTATGAAGGTCGCCTGTCTACTGTGTTCATTTTTCGTTTCGCTTGGTTGATCTTAGTCTTGACGGTAAATGTAGTTATTATTCATATAAACCAAACAACATTTACGAATAATTTTCATTTTCCATTTCTATTTGCGGCAATACCACTGAATGGCAAATGCTACCTTGCATAGGGGACGTACAAGGTGTTTGTTCAATCGTGCCCCTCCCCTCTCTTGCACCCCTTTCCGTCCACCTAGATGACGTTCCCTTTACATTCCCTGTCAAGACTGATCATCTAACGTTTATCATCGGGTCTTTGCCTGCCAGGTCTGGTCAGTTGAGATGAGATTCGATCAGATCCTTTTTATAGCTCGGCCCTTCCGTATAACTTGACAACAACTTCCTTGATGCCTTTAGTGCCTGAGACGTGACTGCCTGGTACAGCCAAGTCACACCAAGGGGTCCGACACTAGACCGACACCAGGGCCCCGTCTTACAAAGACTTGCGATTGATCCAAATCACTCGCAAGTCGTCCAATTAATCGCAAGTTTGCAGTCTCCTTTCCCCCTATGTACATTATTTGCGATTGATATCAATCGCAAATAAGTTGCGATTGATATCAAATCTTTGTAAGACGGGGCCCAGACCGAACAAAACGTTACATTATTACCCCTGATGACCAATCGAAGAATCGATCGGGTTGGACTTGGATTGGAATCGCATTGCCGATGTATCTGACGTTTAAACCAGTTCGTATAGATACAATTTGCGCATGGCCAGATAGGGGGCATTTTTACACAAATTGTAAAAACACATCGAGATTATGAGTAGATTCGTGCTCATGAAAGTTATTTAATCCTTATTCGCCGGCGGTACATTCTATGATACTCAGGTGGAAGTATTCTTCTCAAGAGGGCAGATAAATTGTATTCGTGAAGCACCTCCATCACTTAGGCAGTGATTTAGAAATAAAATAATCCACAAAGTAATACGTCGCTATATATGTGTTAAGAATCTGTGGACATTTTGGGGGTCGTTTGTGCCAAAGCTAACTAAGAACTGGTTAATTCTGCAGGCCGTATCCTAGAGCATTACTAGAAATGGCTTTAATTTATCCCCGTCACACCAACGAGACTGATTTGCAAAATGCATTATAGTAATGTGCACTGATTTCTGTGATTGATTTCTTGTCATATTTGTATATATTGATCGCTCTGTTGGAAATAATGATAAAGTTGAACTGAAACTGAGACTGACATTGATATAGACCGACAAATGACCAATCAAACGATTACTTTACCTCCATTAGCCAAGAATCGGTCGGGTGCATGTAGAGTCGGTTTCCATTCCAATGGTGACAGAGGAGATGCGAAGTAGGTCAAAGGTGTGATCCAGGCGGAGCTTATGCAAGGCATGTTGTATCATTGTGTTGCCTTTCCATACCCAGGTGTGTAATGGGGAGCCTGGTATAGGATGTGAGCGTCACCGTGATTGGATAATAATGTGCACGTCCATTAAAAAAAAATAGTGGAATACTCAATAGGGAGTGGAGATGGTGCACACTATGTCCATAAAAGCAATTGAACCAAATGACCACGTTGTTACGAAGAATAGCGCTATCAACATTATCCCAAAGACTTACGAGAAAAAAGGGCACTTTTCATAAAATGATGTTCGGTTTTTGAAATACGTCATTGTAATGTTCGTACATTTCATTGGGTGATGACGTAGATATTGATATTGCCTGTGGTTGATTTTTTACGAGAGTCTTTGACCGTTTGGTTAAGGTGAATTAGGTGACAAATATTGCATGGGCGGACAGCTTGTCCATCAGTGTAGTTGCACAGGTGCACAGCCAGTGCACTTCCCATACTTCCGTACACATGTCAGGCGCACTCTCCTTATTGGATTTATAAAAGGTGTATTTGAGATTATGTAGGCAGCATAAACCTATTACTCTGGTTTAGTTTGACACCACTTATAGGGATTAATCCAATATTTTATATAATAATAAAGACAACTTAGATGCACATTGAAACTTTATTTATATCACAAAGCTTCAAGTGGGGGGGGGGGGGCAAAGGGGGCATTTTTTCTTCTCCTACTCCCTCCCCAAGTATGAGATAACTGAGTTAGAAACAAAAAAAACGGACATTCTTTTAAAGAAGATGTCTCCGTGGAAATGGATCCTCATTGTGATAAAAACCAACACTGCACATTATCAAATTGCTGTGATGAATCACGACCATGCAGTTGATGACATTTCGAGATATTGTTACGATATATTTCTCACTAACAATGGCTTTACATTGAAAATAACGCAATGTTTGCCTTTTTAATCATCTTTATCATCATCATAAATGGATTACGTTGTTTTTGCACGTAGCCACGTACACCAGGTTCTGAGTAAACAAATATTCCAAAGGTTAATTCATCATATTCCAAAGGTTGATTTGAATTGTTATTCATATTCGATTACCGTTCGCGTGCAAGACAGCATGAGATTTAAAAGTGTTTAAGCTTTCAACTGAGTATCAAGTAATCTGTATTTAATAGAATCATCTATACAGGGAAAATGTCACACATTTAAAGGTAAAGACCAGTTATGGTCATGCGATTGCATTGTGAAAGAAACTTGTGGAATCGATCAGAAAAGGTTGATCATCTAGCATCTAGCATCTGCAAGGTTCTGGAATCATCAAAATGATAAGAAATTTGGCCCATTCTTCGTAAAGTTACAAGCACTATACACAGAAAGATGTATATGGGACTACCCTATATCTCTCACAGACCATGAGAGAAACAAATTTACCAAATATATGAATTAGTAGGAGGTTCCCCGGCAAATTTGTTATCATCATGTATTAGTCAAAACATATTCTTTTACATGATTGGTAATGAGAGCTTCCATTTCATTTTTTGAAATTGGGGCGTTTCCAATACTGGTCTTTACCTTTAAACAGTTTTATTATGTTTTACTAGGGACCAAGTAAATCTGTAACTTATAGGCGATATTGCGTCAACGACTCTCAGTCTTCCAGGCGTCGTTTTATGAGAGATATGTGGTACAACTTAAATGCAAAATGAACAATGCAAATATTACTTCAATTGACTGGCGCTGCACTAATTCTTTCTTCTTCTTCTATATACAGGCATGATGCGCTTAGGTATTAAAGGAATATAAACGATGCCTTGTGTTCAACGGGTATAGAACTGACTTTAGAAAATCGAGTCCAAGTATATTTCGTTATGGCATTGAACCCTCTGAAGTGACACACACGGAAATGTCATTCCGCGGTTAGGAAAGTAGATCTCACAATTTTTCCCCTTAAGAAAATATGACCTTTTCTTAGTAGAGAAAGCATCATTGTGTTTCCGTGTCAGTGGCAAGGGGAAACTACACTGGAGCTAAACAAACATATTCACTTCAAGGGGAAAAGAAGATTCAGGAATAAAAACATTTTTTCTGAGGTTCGGTATCCCGCATTCCACAACTAGTTTGTAATACTTTAGTTGTGAGTTTAAACGAAACAACTAACTATAGATTAACTATATTTGCCTTGGCAGGTGCGTTGATAAAATCTGAACCTTAAACCCGGAAGACATTGCTCTCTCCACTACAATGTAAAAAATAAAATATCAATTATGTCAAATAACAAGTAGGGCCAAACAATGGATCTAAATTTAAAAAGAATTATACACTGCAAGGGAAAAAGTGATTAGGAAAGGAAAATATTTTTTCTGAGGTTCGGCATCCCGCATCCCACAACGAATTTGTAATACTTTAGTTGTGGATTTACTTTAGTTGTATATTGACTATATTTGCCTTAGCGTGTGTGTAAACAAAAACGTTACATTGATCCGGAAGACATTGCTCTCTCCACCACGATGTAAAATATATAAGATATCACTTATGCCAAATAACAAGCGAGGCTAAACACTGGATCTAAATAAACATGTTCACTGCAAGGGGAAAAGAAGATTCAGAAAGGAAAACATTTTCTTTGAGGTTTGGCATCCCGCATTCCAGAGCTAATTTAAAAAAAATTTAGTTGTGAATTTTATAAACGCAACAACTAAGTTGAGATTGACTATATTTGCCTTTAGCAAGTGTGTAAATAAAATCTTAACATCAATCCGGAAGACATTGCACTCTCGACTACGATGTAATCAATATTAGATATTTGTTATGTCAAATAACAAGCAGGGCCAAAAATAAACTCTGATAGAAATCGTTATCTAGTTTCCAATGAAAAGGAAGAAATGTATTCCAACATGTTAAAAGTTATTTCGCTGACAAAATTAGTTTATTTTAGCGTTTATCATACGATAATATGGTTCAATGCTATTATAATAAAAGACGTAATTGTTAACATTATTTGTAAACTTATATTCATGATAGATTGGTATACGCAGACCCACGATTTGGGAAGAAACTGCAAAATGCACTCTTTGTCATGAAATGAAAGATTTAGAATATTGAATCTTAGATTCATCAAATATTTACGGCAAGTTGTTTCAAAATATTTTCAACAACAAAAATCTCTGGTATTGCCACAAGCAATCGGGAAACATCTCAGCTTTCCGGTCATCTTTTGCATGATTTGCATAATTGGATAGTTTTGCTGAAGCAAGGATTTTGGTTTGATAAATGATTTCTGAAATACGAGTAAAATATTTTTTATATTTATTTCTTCATCTTGTATCTTGCAGACAAAAATGAAGAAGCAGGACCAGAGTCTGATGCGTCAATTCATGGAACTGCGTTCGACCATCCATCAGCTCAAGCAATCAAGTACGCAACAGAGTTTGAGAGCAACCTATCTACGCAACCAATCATCATGCGCCAATCTCGGAGCATCCGACCTATCAGCGCGCAGCAACACGCCACACCGCCAATCACATTCGCAATCGCGGAGTAGTCTCCGCCCACTCGGCGCAACCAGCCAATCATCGACGAGCAGTAACTTGTCATCCATGCAGTTTCATTCACGCGGGAACCTCAACCACGCGCACTCAAATCTAAGCGGGAATGTCAAAATGGGGCAGAGCCTGGCGCATCTGGAGGACACAAGTTTCGACATGGACAGTTATTTCGGTGAAGTCGATTTCGAAAACGATTCTTTCTATGACGACGACGACTCCGATGCTTTTGTCGATCTGCCCGATGGTATGGGTGGTACTCCCGTCTCTGCGCTATCGGAACAGCCTTACATGCCTCAGTATCGTACCCGGACTGTTTCTTTGGTGACACCGCATTACATCGGTCGACCAACCGCGTCGGGCTACCTTGCAAGGTCGAGATACATGTCATTTTCAAACGCGAAAGGGAGAGTGGAAAGCGAAAGAGCAATTTTAGAATGAAAGTGGTATTGGTTTCCATGGTATCCATGAAACTTTATATAGACAGTCAGAGATTGATTTATTTTAGGTATTTTTTTTATATTTCAGATTTGTATATACTTGCTTTTCAAACACTGATAGTTTGTGTTTAATAAAGTGCAAAACGTATCCTTTAATAAATTAGTCATTAAAATACATAAGATAGTATTAGCTTGCATACACTTTGGGTTTATTGGGTAACAATACAAATGAAAATATGGGTATTTATATGATAATTCTAATTATAATACGTGTGAATATTACCTTAAATTGTCACACTCAGTCACCACATTAGAGCGTATTGTGGTAAATGTACTCATATACGACATGGTGCCGGACTTTATGAACAGTTCATGTTCCATTGATTTCATGAATGGAAATTTCAGAAATGTACTTTTTCTTAAACAAGCCATTCGGTTGAAAGGTCATTTCGTTCAAAATTATAAGCAATTCAAAGGTGAATAACACGTTTTTATGCTCGCAGGAAATAATTTTAAGATTACCTTCATACTATGGGGATATACGAAGCAATCACGTTTTGTTGTTAAAGGTGTGTTTCAATAGTTGCATACCTATCCTCTTGATTTTCACATTAATCCAGCGGGATACGATATAACCAACTAAATACCCAACACCAGTATGATTCAGAAGTTTAGAACTGCATGCATGGAGAGTGTACTATTCCAACATCTTCCTGATAATAATGTCGTGATGATAACAGCTGATAGTGGGGCCTCCATTAATTCCGATCTACTTTTGATAACTTAAATGTACACAAAACACACATTTCTCACGCAACATCCGCCATTTCCGTCTAATTGAGTTATTTTTAACACGATTCCGATTACATGGTATTGTCTATGCACTTCGGATACGTCTTTTGACCTAATTACCGCATAAGAAAGCGCTGAATATCAGTGGAATTCAATATGCATGAGATTGTTTTGAATAGCCGTGGGTCTAAATAATTCTGGAAGCAAATGATGATTATCTTTATGGATAAAGCTAATTGTTTCGTTTATTGGTTTTTATTACATACTGATATAAAGAAGATGTAAACACATCTTTTGAATGCACACTGCCTCATCCTTCATGTTCATGGATATAATTAAGAACTGTATGGAAATATGTTATATTATAGAGAAGGAGGAAGATTATATAATGCAGTAATATGTAGTTGTATTACAATCATCAACATTTGCCCCCATTTGCCATCGTCGTCTCACAAATTGGTAAAAAATATCAAACATGGGGGTAGCAATCCTTCCCGGAGGGAACAAACGCAGATTGACTTTGTGGTTGTCAGCGCTTTGCACCTCCGACCCGTGGAGGAACCCCCTTTTGTGTCACGTGATGCTAGGTACATGTACGCCACAGCTCGCAACGCGGCAGAATCAATAATCAATTGATAAATCGTGTGCTGAGAAGAAGTAGGGCATTCTATATACGTACGGTGCTATTAGTTATAAACGTTATCCTTGCTCTGAGCAAGGGAAATTCAACAAGGGGTTCAATATAAATATATGTGAGACGACACTGTTGTTATAAGTCGATTATATACATCGATTTGATTTATCTGATCGCTGGTGATGTTTCTTATTAACGAGATACTAGAATTTGTTATATATATTTTGACAGACGTTTGAATAAAGTATTGCTCATTTAAAAGCAGAGAAATGCCAAATATATATCAATGTGTTTGATTGTTTTTTGTGTAGGCTATATAATTATGTAGGTCAGATATAGAATGATACACTTTGCGTCAATCCTGGCAACATTGAACAACATCTGCGTTGGATAAATAATGACATTTCAAATATGAATGGGCAATGGTGTTGGGGTGGGGTTAGGGGGGGGGGGGTAATATCCCAATCACTGTTTGTATGAACTGTTCATTCGTAGACAACAATGTCAATAATTTATATACAATTCATAGAATTAGATCATCATGATTCAAATGACCTTTATTTGTGAGGAAAAGAAACGAAATCTCGTCGTTTTGAATGATGTACAATCGAATTTTTCATTTGAATGAAGAAAGCTGAATACAGATCAGGACAGGGGACCTAGTACTTGAAACATATGGATGTTTATTTGTTGGCTTGGCCTTCGTGTCTTAATATGCAAAGAAAACGGATTGCCAATTATTTGAATAGAAATTGAGAAGAAAAGATACAATACAGATGAGAGCCTGATAAAGAGATATTTCATTCACCCGGGTATTCATGCATAGGACAGACACTGGAAACACGTGATTTCCAAAACATTGTATAATACTCTGTAGTTGTTGTTGTTGGGTAATTGTTTATTGGCGTTCATTCAATGTTGAATATATACGCCATAATTATTTTTAATTTTATAAGGAAAATCAGTTATAAATAAGAAAACTGAGGATAAAGATTTGTAATGATATAATTAAAAAGTAACGCAATTTTTTAGGAGTCTCTGGATGGTTTGCAACTTCGTGTTTCTGCTTTTTTTTAAAGTTTAATCTGGTCAGCCCGGTTTCGATGGCATGGAAAACTAGCTTTGCCCGATGTGAAACAGGCTTCTCGGCTACTCGGCGTGCGTGCGCAGTGATCTTTTAATTTTATAACGCACGGTGCCTAGACCACTCAGAAACACAGAAACACTATAAATTGAGACACATCGTACAGGGGCGCTCCTGAAACCGAATTTCCAATCCATTCAAGTAAATTGATATACAAATCTTATCACATTATCACTATTTGTAAGCAAACATTTAAGTGGGCTCTTTGTTAGTATCAATGCATAAAAATAGAACAATTGAAAAATTAACGTCTTTATTTAATATTATATATGGCCTATATAGGCCTATATATTACATACCTACATACATTATATTTCTTTATTTATTCCTCCTTTTATTCTCTTTATGAGAATCTCCTAAAGAAGCGATAGGGGAAAGAAGTACTTTTGGCTTATTTTACTTTACTTGTAAGTAAACTTATTAGGTCTCTTGTTTTATTTGAAGCGACCTGTTCTATGGATATATAGTAGGATGGCTCTGTAGGCCTAGAGAAAAGTTCGGCTTAGAAGTCATTAAACGGAATCTATAGGAAATGTTAATAATAATGATGATACTCATAATACAAATACAAATAATAATAATAATAATAGTTATAATAATAATATCAATGATAATAACAATGATAATATTCTGGGTTTTGATAGCAATTAACACATCTACGTTGTCTCTAATCGCTTTATTGAATAGACGATGCATTATATTGCTATTCAACATATACATCCTTCTGTGAATATTCACTTTTTTGTTTAGGTTATTAATAAGGAATATAAATATTGATCAACCTAAACCCTAAACCCTAACCCAAATCTTCTCACGTTTAGTTGCATCAAGAGATGTACATCCAAACCATGACAAAGGAAGAAGTAAGAGTCGTATTGGTCGGTTTTCTAGAGAAACACACGGAAACAATCCTTATAGTTCCCTTTTGACAAACTTGCATGTGGTAGACATTCACTTCCTGTGTGAGCCAGTGCCCAGGGGGTGTTTCACAAAGATCCTAAGTTGGACTTAACAATTATGGAAAGCCGTTAGCATCTATGAAAATATTTTGTAAAAGTAATTTTAACAGGCATCAAAATGTTGATTTAAATCTTTCGTATTTTCTATTATCAAAGACATTTCATGTTCTTGATGTGGAATTTATAAATAGTCTAAAATACTTGAATTTTCACTTTTGAATATATTTTAGTTTAATGCTTCAAATAGCTCTCCATAGTTTTAAGTCCAACTTAGAGTTAAGTTCGACTTAGGATCTTTGTGATAAATCCCCTGGTGTTTTAGAATATGGACCTACGACCTTTCTCCTATTACCATGTGTAGAAAATCGAGGCTTCACAATTGGTTATCTTGTCCATAGTAGGACCATGAAACATGATTGATACGTTTGTATTGTATTGTTAATCGTCTTAATGACATAATGAGGCCAGTGTCACAGAGCCTTCATTCTCCACATAGTTTGGCATACAATTAACACGATCAGGGAAGGCCGGACCATCTTACTTGAGATGTAAACAGTTTATGACAAATATGTCCCGATGACAATCCAACTCTGGACTACACCGTATTTATAACCCTAAACCTAAGCTTAAACCCATGTTCAACACTAATCCTATATCTAAGTACAGGATAGTGGGGGCAAACTAGTTCTCAACAAAATGTCGTGGTGGATATTTTACCATTAGCCATATACTATACTCCTGATCCTAACGCTAAATCTAACGTTAAATTCCAATTGCAACCTTAATCCTATATATTTGACGATATAAACATGATGAAGCCCGGCAGAGTTGTCACAGGAATCACGTCAGAGCACCAAGACAAATACAGTAATCTGTCTATTCTTGTGTCAAGTGATTGATATATATTTTCATTGGGAATTCACAGAAATGGTTATAGACTAATTGATATTGCTGTTGTTGTCGAGAGATAGAGAGAAGGAGAGAGAGAGAGAGAGAGAGAGAGAGAGGGGGGGGGGGTAAATAGAAGGCGTGGAAGCTAGGGCGCGCAAGAAAGATCAATTTAGCACAGACTAATTGTCTTAACTTAAGCAGAGGAAATACTTACAAGCTTTCGTTTCCCTTCCACAACAATATCAAAACAATATCCGTAACTTGACGAGACAACCCATTAACAACTGCATCTAACTATTTATAAAACATCGAAGGATGATATCATTAATATGACGTGATGTCAACGCTAGACCTGAATTGGTCATCAGCCAACAACAGCGAGTCAACTCTGATCTATTTAAGGACAGAATTTATGCCAAACTCATTAAATTGCTCCAATGTGTATTTAATGAGGGAAAGAAGGTAGTGCGTATTTTTCTTAGAGGGAAAAGTCATTAGCGAGTTACTGGTCACGATATTAGAACGGTATAAATTGTGTAACAGTGTCACCGTTCTGTAGATCATATTTCTTTAACATGTAAATTTTACCTGATATAAATTGTCCAAAGAGATCTATTTGAACTGTCCAACTCACTCTCAATTAACTATCAGTCTAGCTTAACCCCCACTCCCCCCCCCCCAACACACAAATACGAACTGTCTATCTCTTTTGATCTCTTTTCCCACACGTATTCTCAACTAAGGAAAACTTGTAATTGATTAAAAACCCATTCAACAGGTAAACAGAGAATGATAACAGTTGCCCCTTTCTTACCCACCTCTTCCTCTCATCTCAATCTCAAAACATTCATGAACTTGAATAAACTGTACTGTGAGAAGCAACGGCCAAAGTACTGGAAACTTGCTTTTACATAAGGAAGGGTGTAGGGAGCCGGTGTCGACAGTAACTCATGGGAAAGAAAATATGCACACTCTATCTGTACACATTGAACATAACGCAACTTAATTTATATAAAAAAGTAAACTATGAAAGGGGCTTCACCCCTCCCCTCCCCCCCTCCCGACATCTCTCTGCACAAATCTGCAGAATTTTGTGATATCCTCTATTTCGTATTGATAAGCGTACAACGTAAACGAGATTATATTTCTGACACCCGAAAGGTAAATGAGATTAGCCATCGCAACTGTCTCTGTCAAGAAACGTACCTCGATTGTCATCATTTATCAACGTAACGCTGTCTTATGTATTCTCACCAGTAATACACAATAGCACGCACACGGTCACGCACATTCACACGCACACGCACATACACACGCACATATAGACAAGCACACATCACGTAAATGCATTGCATGGATTCCAAGGGAATTATGATGGCATCGTACAACCACGCATATCCGCTTTCTTAAACTTAATATTTGATTCCCAATCAAGTATAGTATTCGAGCAGACACTCTGATGGACAAATATTTTGATAGATAATCCATTGCTGGCATATTTTGTTAAAGTGCCTGACGAAGGTTTGAAATGAATGAAGGTGAAATAAAAATGTAAGCAAACATTAAACTGACTATACTCATTATACCACCGAAGAGTCATTAAAGCTACTTGCCTACCACGGTAAATCGAAAAAGGGGGCCTTCTTAGATATAGCAGGGCGATTTCCACCGGATAATATGTTGTACAACTGTCAAATTAGTCTAGGCTTTATTGTTTTATACATTGGTCTTTATGTAAGTCGGCAAAATTATGATAAGGAAAAATATTAAGGTAAGGTCTATTAGCATTATTAGAAGCAGGAGAAAATATGTGAAAATCATAGCAGATGTATAGTTCTATTTAGAACTTGTGGTCGGAATTCTGAATTCATGTCAGGAAAACGAAACAAGATATAAATATATATGTTTATGTATATATGCATACAATTTATGTATAGTTGTATTTAGATGTTGTTGTCGGAATCCTGAAAACATGTCAGGAAAACGAAACAAGACTTAACTATTGCACTTTCATTTTCAACATGTTCTTGAAGTTTTAAAAATATTGATAAGCTGAATGATAATTAAATAAATAATTCATACACATTTCCCCTATACACTTTCACAATCAAACAAGACACTTGAACGAAATCACAACGGCAACCCCTCGAGATTGATATTTATTTCGAAAGGAAAAAGTGTCTAAAAATAAATTACTAGGCCTATATTTATGCCTTTTGTTTGGCTCATAGTATCGTTTATAAAAAGATTTTGTTATCAGTTAGGAATATAGGCCGAAGAAAAGCTC